ATCTGCAGACTAGGCAGAGGGAGTGGTGACAATAACCGTTGCTCTTCCTGGAAATGCTGGGCCTGGATGCCAATGCAAGAGGATCTGTGGTTGATCTGGTTGACCCAAGGTTCCCTGGTTAAAATGCCCGCCCACTGCTGGCCTGGGGCTCACCAAACACATTGATTCTGGAGGCAGTGCCCCTTGGGGCACCCACATGACAGGACCTACCACCATGCGACTGAGCTCTCTGTTGGCTCTGCTGCGACCAGCACTGCCCCTCATCCTCGGGCTGTCTCTGGGGTGCAGCCTGAGCCTCCTGCGAGTTTCCTGGATCCAGGGTGAGGGAGAAGAGCCCTGTGTAGATGCTGTGGGGGAGCCAGGAGGCCCACAGAATCCAGACGCAAAAAGTCGGCTGGACCAAAGTGATGAAGACTTCAAACCCCGGATTGTCCCTTACTACAGGGATCCCAACAAGCCCTACAAGAAGGTGCTCAGGTGAGGGAGGCTTCCTTGGGTGCCAGCATCTCAGCTTAGGGCTGCTGTAAGTCCTTGACTCTGCCCTTCTATTGATACTTAGTGTTAGGTCTCTTGGAGCAATGTTTTTGGTATTATTTTCCATGTTAGTTTGTTACTAGTTTCTTCCCTTTCTCAAGTCTAAGAAAATCTTGCCCAATGGTGTTAATTTAGTGTGTTCACTGAATAGGGCAAGATTTGCATCCATTGAAACCAGGGGTAGACCCATCCACCTGCTCAATTCTGGTTTCACTGCAATTCACTCCAGTGGTTAGTTAATATTGGAGGAAGGAGGTCTCATTCCCTCTGCTTAACCCAACTATTTCATTCCTGACATAGGAGCTGGACAGGCTGGCACACACTCCGTAAAGACGAATTGACTCCCCTCCCCCTGTCTCCACAGGACTCGCTACATCCAGACAGAGCTGGGCTCTCGTGAGCGGTTACTGGTGGCTGTCCTGACTTCCCGGGCCACGCTGGCCACGCTGGCTGTGGCTGTTAACCGCACCGTGGCCCACCACTTCCCTCGCCTGCTCTACTTCACGGGTCAGCGGGGGGCCCGAGCTCCTGTGGGGATGCAGGTGGTGTCCCATGGGGACGAGCGGCCTGCCTGGCTGATGTCAGAGACCCTGCGCCACCTTCATACACACTTTGGGGCTGACTACGACTGGTTTTTCATCATGCAAGATGATACCTATGTGCAGGCTCCCCGCTTGGCAGCCCTTGTGGGCCACCTCAGCATCAACCAAGACTTGTACTTGGGCCGGGCAGAGGAGTTCATTGGTGCAGGCGAGCAGGCTCGGTATTGCCATGGGGGATTTGGCTACCTGCTGTCACGGAGTCTCCTGCTTCGCTTGCGGCCTCATCTGGATGGCTGCCGAGGAGACATCCTCAGTGCCCGTCCTGACGAGTGGCTTGGCCGCTGCCTCATTGACTCTCTGGGTGTTGGCTGTGTCTCACAACACCAGGTGATTGCCCTTCACGTTAGTTCCTGTCCCTAGCAAGGAGCGAAGGTGTTCCCAGCTGGTTGCTAGAGGCCATCCTTTTGACCTTCTCAGACATTGATCTCCCCTTAGCATCCTCTTGCTTAGCTGGGGGTATCAAAAATGGGAGACAGAAAGGTTCCCCAACTCACCAGCACTCCTTTCATCTCTCCCTCCCACAACCGCTCCTCCCAGCACAGCAGTTAGGGACAGTGTTCCCAGAGAAGAAAACCCAGACATCCTTTTGCCTGCTCAGAGCAACTCTGCCATACTAGAGAAGAGCCGAAGACCCCAGGGGCAGGGATTCCTCCATCTAGAGGCTTTCAGCCCTTTGAGAAACAGTGGACTCTGGGTGAGAGGATGTCTTAGTTTGCCTGCTTGCTTTCTTATAAGCAAAATGTGGACAGTGAAAGTAAGAATCAGGGTTAAAGGAGCTGCTGGCAAAAGCCCCTCCATCTATTCTAAATCAGCAGCGGGAGCAGGTGGTCCAGGTGGGTTGGGGCAGATGGCCTTTGTGTGCAGCGCTAATTGTTTTGATCGTCCCTCTAGGGGCAGCAGTATCGCTCCTTTGAACTGGCCAAGAATAGGGATCCTGAGAAGGAGGGGAGTGCGGCTTTCCTAAATGCCTTTGCTGTGCACCCTGTCTCTGAAGGCACCCTCATGTACCGGCTGCACAAGCGCTTCAGTGCTCTGGAGTTGGAGCGAGCTTACAGCGAAATAGAACAACTGCAGGTGAGCTGAGTCAGCCGGGGGCCCAAGGATCACTGCAGAGATTAGAGGAGCCTGAGGTGTTCACACTCACAGCAGGCAGCTGAGTGATTTGGGCTGGGGTAGAAAGACGCTGCCTGTGCTCAAATTCAAAACAGCTGTAGGAAGCTAGTACCTCACAACTGTAAATCCTAACTATTCAGGAGGCTGAGATCTGAGGATTGTGGTTTGAAGCCAGCCCAGGCAGGAAAGTCTGTGAGGTTCTTAACCACAAAAAGGCTAGAAGTGGAGCTGTGGCTTAAGTAGTAGAGCCACCAGTATTGACTGAAAAGCTAAGGGAAAGCATTCAGGCCGAGTTCAACCCCCATTACTGGCACACACACAAGTACACAGACGAAGGTTTTTGGGGTCCAGGACAATTTTTTTTTGGGGTCCGGTCATGGGGCCTGAACTCTGGGCCTGGGCACTGTCCCTCAACTCTTCAGCTCAAGGCTAGTGCTCTACCACTTGTGCCACAGCGCCACTTCCGGCTTTTTTCTTTTTGCTTATGTGGTGCTGTGGAATCGAACCCAGGGCCTGAGGCATGCAAGGCAAGCGCTCTACCACTGAGCCACCTTCCCAGCCCTAAAACTACTAGCAGAGGATGGTTTCAATCCAGCGACCTCTGGGTTATGGGCCAGCACGCTTCCGCTGCACCACTCTGCTATACTATGAAAGGAGTTTCTGGATTCCTAGGGATTTACACTAACCCAGGACAATTGTTACGTTAAATACTATAACGTGGGGACCAGTAACTAGCAGATGTTCAGATAGGCCATTTTAGCTTCACACCAACAGTGTGGTTCTGAGGCGACAGAAACTCAGGTCTTCTAAGCTTCTAGAACTGTTTAAGAACTTCTGATGGTAGAGGGAAAAGGGTAGCTTGTGAGGGGTCCAAGGTCACTGTTGGCTTATAGATGAGTGTGAATCCTTTGGTCATAGGAGGGAAAGATTGTCAATCTGTGATCCAGACTGCAAAGCTGCCCCTCTCCCCCAACAGTTTAGAAGGGGGCTGTCTTTCAGTTTAGAGGTAGGGAGTGTAACGTGCAGACACTGGCCAGGGTCTTGCTATTGGAGTCTTGGAGCCTGGTCAGGTGGAGGTGGGCGGGATCCCAGAGCTGGCACTGACCTTAGGTGCCTTCTCTCCAATGTAGGCTCAGATCCGGAACCTGACGATGCTGACCCCTGAGGGCGAGGCAGGGCTGAGTTGGCCTGTGGGGCTCCCAGCCCCTTTCACACCACACTCCCGTTTTGAAGTGCTGGGCTGGGACTACTTCACAGAGCAGCACACCTTCTCCTGTGCAGATGGGGCCCCAAAGTGCCCACTGCAGGGGGCCAGCAGGGCAGACGTGGGTGACGCGGTGGACACTGCTCTGGAGCAGCTCAATCGGCGTTACCAGCCCCGCCTGCGCTTCCAGAAGCAGCGGCTGCTCAACGGCTACCGGCGCTTTGACCCAGCGCGGGGAATGGAGTACACCCTGGACTTGCTGTTGGAAGCCGTGACGCAGCGTGGGCACCGGCGGGCCCTGGCCCGCAGGGTCAGCCTGCTGCGACCCTTGAGCCGGGTGGAAATCCTGCCTATGCCCTATGTCACTGAGGCCACCCGGGTGCAGCTGGTTCTGCCGCTCCTCGTGGCCGAAGCCACTGCGGCCCTGGCTTTCCTTGAGGCTTTTGCAGCCAGTGTCCTGGAGCCCCGAGAGCACGCCTTGCTCACTTTACTGCTCGTCTATGGGCCCCAGGAAGGTGGTCGTGGGGCCCCAGACCCCTTTCTTGGGGTGAAGGCTGCAGCGGCTGAATTAGAGCGAAGGTACCCTGGTGCGAGGTTAGCCTGGCTGGCCGTGCGAGCCGAAGCCCCTTCCCAGGTGCGGCTCATGGACGTGGTCTCCAAGAAGCACCCCGTGGACACGCTGTTCTTCCTCACCACCGTGTGGACGAGGCCCGGGCCTGAAGTCCTCAACCGCTGCCGCATGAATGCCATCTCCGGCTGGCAGGCCTTCTTTCCAGTTCATTTCCAGGAGTTCAACCCTGCCCTGTCACCACAGAGATCAGCCCCGGGACCTGCTGGGGCTGGCCCTGACCCCCCATCTCCCCCTGGTGCAGACCCTTCCCGGGGGGCTCCTGTTGGTGGCAGATTTGACCGGCAGGCGTCTGCCGAGGGCTGCTTCTACAACGCTGACTACCTGGCGGCCCGCGCCAGGCTGGCTGGGGAACTGGCAGGCCAGGAAGAGGAGGAAGCCCTGGAGGGGCTGGAGGTGATGGATGTTTTCCTCCGGTTCTCAGGGCTCCACCTCTTTCGAGCCGTAGAGCCAGGGCTGGTGCAGAAGTTCTCCCTGCGGGACTGTAGCCCCCGACTGAGCGAGGATCTCTACCACCGCTGCCGCCTCAGCAACCTGGAGGGGCTGGGGGGCCGCGCGCAGCTGGCCATGGCTCTCTTTGAGCAAGAGCAGGCCAACAGCACCTAGAACAACCCCCGCGTGCAGGGGCCCCCTCCCGGCCCCCCTCCCCCCGTTTCCTCTGCCTTTGCCCTAGGAGGGGCAAGGCAAGGTGATGGACAGATGGAGGGCTTGCCACTGTATTTTTTTAAATAAGAAAATTATTAAAAAGTATCTTCTGCCAAACTGTTTTTAGATCTAGGGGAAATTGGGGTAAGGAGAGAGCCTGAGGGTATGATGTGGGGAGTTTGTCCACAGGGACCCCACTGCCTTTACCCTCCCTGCCCTCCCTCTTTCCTTCCTTCCCTTCTCAGTGTGCAATGACCACAAGGCTACTGTTAGATGAATGACCTTTAATCCAGTCCTCCCCACCCCACCAAGGTAGCAGAGGCGTGAGGCCCGAGCACTGGGGAGCAGGGCGCGGCTGGCTGGTCCACAGTGGTATCCAGGCTCCTAGGTGTTGCGCACCACCAGCGACTGCTCCAGCTCCTGCCTGCGCTGCTGGATCTTTAGAGGAAGTGTGAACAGGAGCAGGGTCACATGCTCCTGGTGAGTGACCGGGGGAGCCCACCCCTGGCACCCCTGTCCTGAGAGTGGGAGCTACTGCAGGGCAAGGTGGGGGGTAGGCAAGGAGCCACCACAGGGAGCACCGAGAGGAAGAGGAAGCTTCACCACGGGCCAGGGCCCTTCCCTACCTTGCAGTAAAAGTAGCGGCTGACTGCTTCCTGGGACCAGGGCTGGTGGTAGAACTCGGCCCGGCGTTCCTCTTCAGGGTTGCCCGCTACATCTGTCATCACCTGGGAGGGAGCATGGGCTCAGCTGAGTCCCCGGGGCCTCCCCTGCCCTGGTGACCGCCATTTAAGCTCTTTCCCCATGTGCTTGTCTTCCACTCCAGTGCTCCCAAGTCTCCCTCTTCACCTTGAGGTCCCGGCTCTGGGAGCGGAGCAGGTCTTGGACATAGCCCTTGGGGTCTCTGGAGAAGCTTAGCATGAAGTCCCTCTGGATCTTGAGCTGGTTTATGGACTCAATCGTCTCATGGATCTGCAGGTAGAAAGACATGATTTCAATCTGGCTCTGTGCCGTGGGCAAGGGTGGGGAGGGAAGGAGGAGGGCATGGTTCTGTGAGGGGCAGCCCCTCGGAGCCCCTGTCTGAGACAAGGGAGGGCTTGGGCCAAGTGAAAAGGAATGAGGTTGGCAGGGCCTGCATGTCCCTATGTCCTCGTAGTCCTGTGCTTGTGGTGTAAGTGTGCGCTCTCCTCTACGGGCTAATGTCCCACTCCAGCTCTGGGCTTGGGCCCCACCTTACTGTCCAGAGCACTGATCTCCTGCTGGTTAGCTGTGGACAGGAGGAAGCTGCTCATCTGTCCTTTCAGTGGCTCCTCCACCTCCACATCGATGTCATAGCACGCCGTCTTCTTCTGATCTGACGGATCCACACTGCCAAGGAAGTCAAGCCCTTGGTGTCCAGGATGCCCCCACAGAAGCCTGTGACCCCAGACTAGAGTGGGTGCAACTGGGAGGGAAGGTTGTGTGGAGGGGTGATCCGTGGCCTGAGAAGCAGGCTGGGTCCACCTCACCTGATGACGTGGTTGATGACGATCGGGTCAGGGGGCAACAGCAGGGCTGTGAGGCGCTGGGGGATCTCAGAAAACTTCAGCCGGGGACAATCAAAAATCTGAAGTGGGACAGTTGAAAAGGGTGTGATCGTGCACGCTTGCGTGTGCACATGTGTATGTGTGTGTGTGTGTGTGTGTGTGTGTGTGTGTGTGTGCGTGTGTGTAGAGGTGGAAACTCTGCTTCTAGATCCTTCCATTCTGGAAAGGGCCACAGAAGGTGAAAGTCAGACTCCTTGGGTGGGCCAGGCCCGAGGTGATCAGCTGTATGGCTATCTGGGTGATATGTGTAGGGTCCGGGGTCTCCTTGCTTGGGTATTAGTCCTGCTGCCATCACATTCTGTGCAACCTTGAGCGAGTGAGACACTAACACCTCAAGCCTCGGTGTTCACAACCCCTGTGGGACTGAGTTATCAGGGGAATTGTGGGAATCAATACACATAAAGTGCCTGGAACAATACTGCTACTTGGTAAGTGCTTAATAAATATCAGCCATCATTTCTACTCATATTTATCTTTTGTATTTATTATATTTTTGGCTGGGCATGGGGCCTGAACTCTGGGCCTGGGTGCTGTCCCTCAGCTCTTCAGCTCAAGGCTAGTGCTCTACCATTTGAGCCACAGTGCCACTTCCAGGTTTTTCTGCTTTTGTAGTGCTAAGGAATTGAACCCAGGGCCTCATGCATGCAAGGTAAGCACTCTACCACTGAGCCACCTTCCCAGCCCTCTTGTATTTATTTTTAAAAGTATTGATAATAGTACTCTGTACTTTGGTAGAATTTTGTCAAGCCACTGTGCAGCAGTTTGGTTTTTGTAGCTGCCCAGTAAGCTAGATGGCTCAGTTTTCATCTCTACAAAGATGAAATTAAATGCAGAATATCAGGGTAACTCACCTCAAGCCTAGACCCAGGACTGGAACCCTGGATCTTCACTTTAAGTGCTAGGGTATTACATTCCAGAAGGCTGTTGGCTTTCTGGTAGGGTTCCAGAACTTTCCAGTCTGGGGAGGCTAAATGGATCAGCAGTAGCCATGGAGGCGGCCTGATAGATTCTGGCCTCTCTGCTCCAGGGCAGTGGCTGAGAGGAGTTGTGATACTCCAGGATCTCAGCAGGGAGGCCCACATGCCTTCTCAGCTGCTCTGCTACCCAGATCCCTGGCTTCAGGAGACATTACCTGCTGGAAATACTTGTCCCCATTGATGTATTCCTTGTCGTGAGAGTCCTGCAGCCTGTTGGTCTTCACATACTGCCACAGGGCCTGGACGATGGCCGAGCGGCTCTGTGTGTGCAACCCCAGCAGCCGGGCCAGGCGGGGGTCCAGTTTGAACTGGGGAGGCTGGGGGGCAAAAGCGACCAGGATAATTGGAACCAAGGGGGAGAATGGTGGGAACTCAGCCAGGCGGAGTGCGTGGGACTGAGGCCTTGACCCCTGGGCTTGTTAAAAGCATGCTCTGAACAGGAGGGGGTGTGGGGTGTGGCAAGGGCAGGCACAGACCTGGTAGTCCAGCATGAGGAGCAGGGTGCAGCGCACACTGAGGTCGCCGGGCCTCTTCACCTGGAACCCGTCCGTCTCCTGGGTGGTAGGGGTCCGGTGCCACTGTCCAGGGGGAATTGCTGGTTCATCCACAGGCCCATCCGGATTAGCTTGAGTCTGGGCTCTAGGGTGGTCCTAGAAACTCTAGGAGTTGCTTGGGAGCCTTGGGTTTGTGGGAGGGAGTGATTCCAGAGCAGGAGCAACCTGTCTTACCTCAACGAGGTGGTTGTCTGGGCCATAAAGGTCCTTGTCCAGCTCAATAACCAGACTCTTGAAGAAGGATGAGAACTTCCGCTTCTGCTTGCTGGGCTGTGGGAAGAGGACAGGGACTGTGGGGGACGCACAGAGACCACAGGAGCAGAATGGGTCGAGCTGGCAGCAGGCAGACAGCATGCTGCAAGGTAGTCCTCCGCACCAGCCCCGTTCCCAGCCCCCTGTGCCCCCCGCCCCAAGCAGGGCTGCTCCCCCAAGCCTAGGAGCAGACATCTAGTTCTCTTCTTGACTCAGCCCATACCCACCCCAGGACACCTGGAGAGACCTGGGCCAGGACGTACATCATCCAGGAGTTTCCCCTCCACCCGCAGCTCCCAGGAGGCAATGCTGCCATCAGAGTCTTCAGCATCAGGCTTCGCAGGGTTAAAAGTATTGGAGATATAAAGCCGCAGCTTCCGCTTTTGCTGTAGAAATAAAGAATGGAGTAGAGAACCAGAGCTGTGTGCCCCACCCAAGGGCCACTTCGTCCCTCCTGGGCCCTGGGCTCCCGCTTCCTTCCCCCACACTAAGGCACCTTCATGGGCCTCTTCAGGGCCTCCTGGATGTCCACCCGCTTCCGCATGATGGTTTGATCCAGTTTCCTCTCAAATGCTAGGAGGTCCATGTAAGCTTGGGACTCGGGGACCAGCTCCCGAATCTGGAGGAGGAGCGAGGCTCAGTCAATACAGAATGTGCACTTATTTGCTGATCCCAGGACACAAAAGGCTGTGGATGGGAACTGTCTGGCTTCACGATATGAAATGTTGCAGGTGCAGATAGTACTTCTCTCCAGAATTCCATTCTCCAGCCTCCTTGTGTGGGAAAAAAATGGCTTCTCCCTCCAGGCAGATCTATGTGTCTCATCACCAGGGTGCTAGGTGCTGTGCCAGCCCAGCAGGTGCAGTGACAGGGGCCTAACCTCATCTCTCCTCACTACAGCCACCCTTGAGCCCCTGCAAAGTGCCAAGGGGCTCTGGGGTTCTGAGATAGTTGGGGGATAGCATTGCTTGACACCCCCACCCCTTCTCAACTGTAGTGTTTGTTTACAATGGCCAGGACCTCCTCCCTTCTGTTCCCTTCACCTGGCAGCCTCTGTCCTCCCTTTGTCCCATGCTTTTTGTCTTATTGCGGGGACTGCTGGCACTCAAGGGTTTCTCCCCACCACCACTCAGGCCCTGTTCGGTCCCCAGGCTAGCCCTCCCCACCCCCCACCCCAATTTGGCCTGGGGAGCCTCACTTCTTAATGAGCTTTTTAAACAAAAAGTGAAAGTGGCTGTGGCAGAGCTGCTCCTGAGGGGGCGGGGGAGGGCGGGCAGCCGGGGAGGGGGGACGGCTAGGGGCTGCTGTGGAAGGCACTCACCCTTTGAGGGAGGATTTTGTCAGCCATCTTCCTCCTCTTGGCACTGTACATTTTTTAAAGAAAAAAACAGGTTACCATGGTGACAGATCTGGGAGTAACGAGGCCACCTGCTAAATTATCCCAACATCTCCGCCTGTCTGGCTGGGGTTCCCACAGCCCCCTTGTCTGCCTGCCTGAGGGGCTGTGACCTGACAGTGGCATGGGGCTGGTGCTCCGTTTTCTCTTGGGGAGGGGTGACCGGCCCCCCTCTCTGGCCTGGCCCCTCTTCCACACCACAGCATTCTCAGAACCAGAGAAATTCCCTCTTACAAGGAACTGGGGGTGGGGGAGGTGCTGGCAAAAAAAGGGGAGCTGCAGGAGTGTTGGAGAAAAACTGGGGAGTCGGGGGGTTCAGGTTCTGGGGACCTGCCTCTTTTCTGACAAGTAGGAGGGACTCATCGCGGAGGATCTGAACAGAGAGAGATGGGGGGGGTCGCTTCCCCCAGCTCTGGGTAGGAAGTGATGGCATGAGGCTGGTGCAAAGGGATTTGCACCCCTGCCACCCTGCGCTTGAGGGGCCAACAGGGCAAGGGGTGAGCGTGGGGGCATGGGTCTTTGTGGGTGTGGCTCGGGGCTGGGGCCAAACTGGTTACCCCTGGGTACGTTTAGCACTTGGGATTCAGTTACTTCTTGACTGGGTTAGCTGCTTCCTACTTCTTTAAGTACCCCCAACACCCTTGGTTGGTTGACTGGAAGGCAACCTGGAGGATAACTCTGCACTGCCCTCGTGTGGTGTTCCCCCCGACCCCTCCCCGCCCAGAAACCCATTCTGTGAAGAGGGAAGCCACTCTCCTTCAAGAACCCCATTCTAAGGTTGGGCAAGCACCCACCTATCATTGAAAGACTGATTTGTTTTAAACAAACGATCTGTGCAAAACTCCCCACTTACACACAGTAAACCAGGGAATTATTTGCTATACTAAAAGACAGCTCATGTTGCAGAAGAATTTATCACCGGATTCCCATAAATGGTGAAATTTTCTTGATGTGCAGGAGATATTTAATAATGAGGTAAAATTGATTTTGCACCTTGTATAGGAATCCATCTGTTGTGCAAAAGGAAGCATGTGTGTTTGACTAAACACGGGTGCCCAGAGGGCCACTGATCTTGCTAGAGCCAGCAGGGACTTGGGGAGGTGTGTGTGTGTGTGTGTGTGTGTGTGTGTGGTGTGCATGCTTCCAAACGCTCACACAAGAAAGGGGCTGGCCCTGGCAGCCCGGGGGCAGGCCTGGTTGAGAGGACTGTGGCGCTCTTCCACCTCTCAAGTGCCTCGGAATCCCTTGAGTACAACTAGGCAGAGCCCACCCACCCACAGAGCAAGTCCCACAGGGCAGAGATTTCCCACCGAGGGGCTCCGGAGACCCACACTTGGGGACACACAGCTAAATCGCCGTACCCCTCTATTGCCACTCTCCCCACCCCCCAAGACTGGAGAAGCATCACCCAGAACTTAGGGTACCGGGTGTGGAGGGCACCAGGTAAGACGGGGGCGAGGGCAGGGCAGGGCAGGGGCACCGGCTGCCGCAGCCTGTCTCTATGGTGGGCACACAAAAGAACCAGACCAGTGCCCCGAACCCGCCTTCCCCCGGGGGCGCCGAACCCAGGCTTCCTGGTTCCCCCGCCCCCCATCGCCCTGCATGTCCTGCCCCCCCCCCCGCCCCCTGCCCCTCCCGCCCCCCGGCGCCCGGGCCCCGCACTCACCTGCGGCTCCGCGCGGGGGCGGTGGGCACCGGCTGGCCCTGGCTCGGGGCCTGGCTCTGCCCGGGCGGGGGCGCTGCTCGCTTGCGGGCGGGCTCCATGCCCGCGGGGGCCAGGCCGGGTCGCACGGCGGGGCTGCCCATGTAAGGGGAGCCCGGGGGGCCCATGGGCGCCCCCTGGTGGGGCATCCGGGCTCCAGACGGCATCCCGGGGCGCTGGGGGGGGAGGAGGGGGGCGAGGGGTGAAGCAGAAACCGGCACCCGCGGGTCCCGGGGCGCGCGGGGAGGGGGTAGAGGGCGGCCGGCGACCCCGGGTGGGTGACCCCGAGCGCCGCTGAGCAATTGGTGGGAGGGGCGGGGAGGAGGGGCAGGGGCTCGGCAGAGGGGGGCTCGGCGTTTCTCCCGCGGCAGGAAGCTAACTGAAGCCAGGCGATTGCCCAGGGCACGGCCGAGACCCGAGCCGCGCGCGGGAGCGGCGGAGGGGGATACGCGGGGTGCCTCGCCGCCTTTCCGAGGAGGCTGCAGGGCAGCCCGGGCAGGTCCGTTCGCCCCCACTTGTCAGATGGGCTCACTGGGGCTCAAGGAGAAAAGCCACCCGCCAAGGTCATCGGCGCCGAGGCCCCTCTCGGGCGGCCCGGCCCTCTTCGGAGGCCCCCCCTCCCGGCCCCCCCCATGCCTGGAGGTGAGGGCTCGAACTCCTGACTTGAATGAACACCCTGCCTCTTCGCCCCATCCCCTACTTTCCCGTCCCTCCTCCTCTCTGCGCGCCCTCTCACCCCCTGCCTCTTTCTGGGCCCCTGATCTTGACCCTTTGGTCTCAGACATTAGGCTGACTCTTAAAGTCTTCACAGCTGGGTGGGGGGAGGTGCCACTGACTTGTCCCCCACTCTTAATTTCTTCCCAAGGGGAAAGAAGGCTGGAGGCTGGGCTGATGTCACACTTTGCCAGGTTTTTCCGAGTGGGAGGGACGGCTGGGCTGTGGGGGGGACTAGGGGAGTCCACAAGCACCCATCTCTCCCTCCCTCCCGTCTAGATCAGGAGATGGCCCATCCCACAGACCCCCTCTATTCCCTGCCCTACCCCGTGAGCGTAGTCAGGGTTGATTCAAACAAGCCACCTTCCCTGCCAAAGTACAAATGTCTCTGAGTTCTTTGGGACCCCACTTATCAAGACCCCAGAAGGGAGATGGGGGGGGCGCCCAAGGACTATGGATGAGAGGTGAGATGAAGACTGGGTCAGGGGAAGCCAGAAGGAGACTAGAGAGGGAGGAATGATCATTGGGACACCCCCCTGTACCCCCTAGGCACAAGGAAGAGGCCAGGGCCTGACTCTAGGCTTGGTGTCTGATCCCAACGCTTCTACCCCTAGCCAGCAGCTGTCTCTGCTCATCTCTCCCAGACCGCCTGCCTCTGTCACTCAGGCCTCCAGAGTGGCAGGCCAGGCCTGGCCATTCCCCACTACCATAGACCAAATACTGGCCAAGTGGGGCTCACAGTCCCCTGAGAAGGAACCTCTAGTTTAGCTGTGTTGAAATTCCTGTGTAGAGTCCCCCCCCCCCCACGGGTGGACCTCTTTCCAGTAGCTGCCCCAAACATCAAGGTGAAGACTGTTAACCCCACTGTCCCCCACCCCCACCCTTGTCCCCAGAGATCCCTGGGTCTGGAGGACAGGCTGCCTTCCTCCTATCTATCCCCCGCCTCTCTCCATCCCCAAGGCCAGTGCTTTGGGGTGGACTTGACTGGCCGCCCTCGGGGCTCGGCCAGCCACCAGCACCACCCCTGGAAGAGGACTGCCCCCTCACAGGGGTGCCTTCCTGGGGTCACAACCAAATTTGGCCATAGTAAACAGGCCTCCCCCTCCACTGCCCCCGGTCCCCAGATCCCCTGCTTCCCAGCCGGGCCCCCTGCTGGATCCTCTCCGGCCTCCACCCCCCCCCCCAGCACCCCACGTGCTTTCTCGCAGCCTGCCTGTGGCAGGACAGCGCGGGGCTGGCCCTCGGATCTGTAGGCCTCACGGCCCCAGCTCCCGATCTTCCTTCGCACCTTGGAGGTGTTAAGGTCATCAACTTCTGGGGCTCGAGCCTGCCGGAGGGGGGAGGGGCTCGTGTGGCCCTGGGCCCCAAGACCCATCCCCAGAGCAGGCCTCTCCGCCTGACCCTGACAGCAGCGGCAGCCGTCGCTCAGCGAGAGGGCTTCCCGCCCGCAGGGCCGCCGGGGTCACCTGCTCCTTGCTCCGGAGACCCCCATCGGAGTGACACTGGGTGACCCTGTCCCGAGGGAGGTCCGGGGACAGCCGGATGGGGGCGCCTGGCCCGGTCCCCCACCCCCACCCCGGGGCAGGGGTACACCTAGGCCCACCAGCAGGAGAAAGGAAGACAACGTGTCGGTTACAGACGGAGAGGACCCCCTCCACACGCACACGCACACGCGCACACACACGCACACGCACTGGGGAGGAGGGCCGCCCCCCCCCCGCGTCCCACCCGGGCCGCCGCCTCCCTCCCCGGCCGCCGCGCGCCCATCCCCGGCCGGCCCGCTGGACGACGTGTTCGGATGCCGGCGCCGGCGCGCGGTCCCGGGCCGGACGTCCTCCGCCCGCCCCTCCCGCCCTCCCTCCATTCAGCCCGCGCCAGCTCGCTCGCCCACCCCCGCCAACTTTCCCCCACTCACCACCCCATGGACCAGAAACTCAAAAAGTTTGCTTTTCGTGGCTTTGCGCGCCCCTCCGGCAACTTCGTCCGCGGCCATCGGGGTGGGCTCGGCGGCGCCTCTCCCTCTCTCTCCCTCTCCCTCTCTCTTCCTCTTTCTTTCCCTTTTCTGCCTTTTTTTTCCTCCAACTCTCCCCTCTGAGTCCTGCTGGGCTCTCTCACACTTCTACTCGAGCGGAGTGGGGAGGGGGCCCCTTCAGGGCTGCCCTGACGGCCCACGGCCCACGCCGCCGCCGCCGCCCGCCCGCCGCCGCCGCCGCCGCCGCCGCCGCGGCTGCCGCATTCCTGCACTGATAAGACAGAAATAGTCCGGCGGCCCGGGGTCTGCCCGCGGACTCGCCGGGGACGCGGCCGCCGCCCGGGCCCCCCGCCGCCCCGGGCCCCCGCGCGCGGTCCGAACGGCGCGGAGGCGCGGCGGGCGCGCCGATCGGGCCGGGCGCCGGGCTGAGGCGCCGGCGGCGGAGGCCGCCCCAGGGCCCCGGGGCGGCCGCGCGGGGAGGGGACGCCGGAGGGGGGCGGGGGAGGCGGCGGGGGGCTCGCCGGCCACTCGGCTCTCGCCACAAATAGTTCCCGGCCAGGGATTCGCCGGCGGGGGCCCGGCGGGGAACGGCCCGTTCCAACTTTCTTCCCCCAAGTGGCTGCGGCCGCCTGTGAGGCCCTCTCCCCGGAGACCCGGCGGGCCAAGTAGGGAAACATTCGTGGGAAGGAGCCCGGGGCGGGGGGAGGGGGCGGCCGCGGTGGGTGTGCCGGGTGGGGCGACGCTGCTGCCCGCGCCCGCCCGCAGAGGCGGGAGCCCGGGTTTCCACGCCGCTTGTGTCCGCGCCCTTGGCGGCGCGGCGCGGGGTGGGCGCGCGCGCGCGCGCTCGGACACACACGCCGGGGCCGGGCGCCCCTGGCGCGCGCGGGGCAGGGCTCGGCCTGCGTCGTTAGCTCCGTGCGAGGCTATTTCTGGGCTTGGGAGTCTTTGTCTCTGTGTGAGAAAGTGAGGGCAAGAGGGGAAGTGTTTCCGAATAGAACACGGGGGTGTCGGGGCTCGGCTCCACAGGACCGCGAGGAAATGGCACAGAGTCCGGGCGGGTTGCTTGGGTGAGTAGTTGGAAAGAGCGAGCGAAGCAGGGCTTAGTGGCCTTGGAGTGGGGACCCCCAGGCACGGGCAGCCTCGGGATCCCCCAGAGGGCAGGGGTGCGTGTGGGGAGCCGCAGCCAGGGCGGCCTGAGGGGAGGGGGGAGGGGCGGAGCCAGCCAGGGAGCCCCGCCCACCAGGGGCCACGCCCCCTTCGAGAGGAGGAGAGGGTGGGCTTGTGGACGGACGGCAGTGGGCCAAGCTCCCGGGCCTCGGGGGAGGGGGGTGCTGTGCCGTCGGAATCCCGGTGAGGGAGGGCGGTGGGCCGCAGACGGGAAGCTGGGTCCTGAAGACCCATCCTGGCCCTGGGGGTCCTGACCCCTGACCTCGGAATGTCTTCAGAGTAGAAGCGCGTCCTGTCCTGCGGAGAGGCTTTTCTGTCCGTGGCTTCTTTTCCTTTGGGCCCGGGTCGGGTTCCTGGCTGTCACTGTCTGTCAACCTGTCCGGGATGCTGCACTGCCGCCCTGTCCGGCGAGGCGACCGTCTCGCTCACCGCGTCCCTGCTCCCGCCCCTCTTCTCCAGCTGGGCCTCCCCGCCCTCGGCCTTCCTCGCCACACTCCTCTTCAAAGCCCCACCAGGCCCCACGTCCTCCAGGTGCCTCCCGGGCCCACGTCTTTCTCCTCTCCAATACCATCTACTCCGGCCGAGCAGGGCTGGACGAATGCCCGTGCTTCGGCTAGGTTTAGTGTCAGTCCTAAGCAGGTTTTGGTCCCTGAGGTCAGAGCCTGGTCTCGGCCGGCTTTCTGGGCATGCCTGGGCACGGGGACCCAAGGATGCCTGCAGGGCGCAACAGGCCGGGGGACAGAGCCGCCGTCTGCCGTGGATCCCCCCACCCCGTGGGTGCATCCGGCGGGGCTGTGGGAAGCCACAGGCCTTGGAGGTCTGGGGATGGGGTCAGGCTTCGTGTTCTCGCCTCTTGGGGTGAGGGTGGTTGGCTCCATAGCTTGGGCAGCTGGAAGACGGGGTGGGGGGGACGGGGAGACGCAGGGCGCGTGTGAGCTGTCACTCAAATGCACAGATAAGCCCCTCCCCCAGCTGCCCGGCGGGGACGCGGGCGCCGCGCCGGTGAGGGCCGCGCCCCGCCCGCGTCATCGCCAGGCACACCGGTGACCGGCACCGGCGGGACCGGGAGCACGTGGGCCTGCTCACGGGCCACCCGCATCCCACGCGCAGACACGTTTCCCGGGGGCGGCCCGGGGGTGCGGACACCCGGGGCCTGCCCACCCGGAGGCGAGGCAGGGCGGGGCGGGGGAGTCCTGGCCGGGGCGCCCTCCCCACAAAGGGCAGGATCCCCAGCGGCTCAGCTCCCGCGCCACTGCCACGTCGCCCACGTCGCCCCGCGGGGGTGGCCCGGAGGCCCGGGGAGAGCCGGGACGCCGGACTCGGGCTGCATTCGGGCCGACCGCGAGCGTGGCTGGGCGGCGGCGGCGGCCGCCCGAAGCCGGAGTCCCCCCTGCCGTCCCCCCATCTCTCCTTCTCCCGGAGCCGCGCGGCCGGCACCAAATGGCAAAGCGCCGCTCCCCGCGCGGGGAGCGCGCGGGCGCCGCGGCCTGCGGGACGGCTCGGCCGCGGCACCCCCCCACCGCGCCGGGGCGAGCGGGGCCGCAGGGGCGGGGCGGGCCGCCCCTCCCCCGCCCCCGCCCGCGCGGCCCCCGGCCCGGGCATGCGCGCCGCCTCCCTCCCGGTGAAGGTCAGCCCGGGGCCCAGCTGCAGGACTGCGCGGCGGCGGCGGCGGCGGCGGCGGCGGCGGCGGCGGCGGCCCGGGAGGCGGGAAGGGAGGAGGGGTGCGGGGAAGAGACTTAACTCCTTCCCTGCGGGAAGACGGCCGCCAGGCCCGGCCCGAGCCCCGCCCTCCCGCCCTCCGTGCGGGTCCCACTTGGGGACACCGATGGGAGGGCAGAGGAGGGGAGGCGAGGAGGGGAGGGGGTGGAAGGCTAGAAGGAGAGAGGGGAGGCCGGCAGGGGAGAGCAGGGAGGGAGAGAAGGAACAAAGGAACTTGGAGGGAGAAAGGACGGAGAGACCCCCACCCCCTTCCTGCTCCCACCCCCAGCAATGCAGCGTTGCTCGTCGGAATGAAACACCCCACGTGTGTGGAGAGAAGCCCCTCGGAACTCTCGGGGTGACGATCCCCCACTTCTGCGATCTGCCCATCTCCGCCCTCACCGACCCCCCTTTTTTTTGGTTACTGACCCCCTGCGCATGCCCGGGGACCCTGTCTGGCCTAAGCCAAGCCAGGGGGGGCTCTGGCTAGACCAAGGAGCCAGGAGGGATCCTCAGCGATGGGAGGAGGGTCCCCGCACCCCCCTCCCAAGACAGGACATTTGGAAGATCAGGCGGGGTGCCCGGCATGGTCTCTCTCCACCTGCCCTGTGTGCGCCAGGTTTCTGTGCCGGGCCACCATTGGCTACCGGGAAGGAAGCTCGCTCTCTCCGTGATTTTGCCTTTCTGTGTTAGTTTTGGGTACACACCATTCGCAGGTGCCCACACACATGTGCACACATCAAAGGTGATAGAAAAAGAAAGGAAAAAAACCCACAGAGAAATAAGGGCACAGGAATAGCTTCGTGACCTTGGGTGAGTCTCTGTTATCTCTGCTTCGGCTTCTTCAGGAGTCAAGGGAGGGAGTTTGACCAGGGAATTCCAGAGCCCTTCCTACTCTGAAATATAGGGATTCCAGAAAGACAGGATCCACGCAGACAAGGGGTGGGGGGGAGAGGGAGAGGGAGAGACAGCAGAGAGACATGAGACACAGCAAGTAGCTGTGGCCACTCGTGCCGTGTGGGCCTGGGCGGCTGTGGACGCCCTGGAGGCCCCCTCCCTCCTCTCACACTCGTTTTCTGTGCCACACCTGCCGTGGGCCCCCTGCCAGGAGGGAAAGACCTTACCGTGGGGTCCCCAGGGTCCTGCAGGGTGGGCAGGTGCATGATAAAGGTTAGCTGAATGTGAACAGCCCTGTGCTCTCTCTGCCTGCGTGGCTTTGCGGGGGGACTAATAGGATGCTCCTTGACACCCCTCCCCCCCAGCACACACACAATGAATGGCAAACACTGAAAGCGCTGGTTGCTCGTTGCTGGTTGCGTGCAGGGCTGGGCCTCTGGGGCATGGAGCGTCCCTCTGGCCCAGAGGCAAAGCACATTTTGAATTCACAGCCAGTTTTCACCCTGCGGCACCATGAATGGGGTGGTCCCTTATCGCAGTTCATGCCCAGTAGCTTTTACAACAGCTTATGGCACTGTACAAATAAAAGGAGCTCCCTAGGCCTGGCTCTCATTTCTGCGTGGATAGGCTGGTGTGTCTGTCTGTCTGTCTGGGGGGGGGGGGGTAGTTATTCTATGGAACCCTAAGGGGTGTTATATCCCCTGTCCCCCAGCAGCACAGCTCTGCCTTTGGCCTGCAGGACCCTATGAGTAGCGAAGCCTTTGGGCCAGGACAGACTGGGTTGCTTGTCATCTCTGTAGATCAACACCTGGCAGGTCTGGCTGGAGCCCATGGCCCCGATGTGTGTGACCTGCCCAGGCCCCAGCTCCAGGCAGCCACAGCCTTCTCCTCCTCTCTGGGAGTTCAGGGGTCATCACTGGCTGCCTCACCTCTTGGGCCAAGATGCTACCATCTGCCCAGAGCCCTCTGTCCCCTGCTGAGGTCCTGCTCCTGCTGGGTTCCTGACCAGTCCCAGATGCCAGAGCTTCTAGGGGCCACGCAGCCCCCATCCCACTCTTCCTGTCCTTTCTCCAGTCTGCAGATACTGGCTGAGTCCTCTGTGTGGGACACTGCGAGGCTGAGGATGCAGGTTCGGGGAGCAACATGCTGGCTGCTGGAGCCACAGCTTCTCAGGCCCATCTCTGAGGCCCTGGGCCTGTGACTTCCTGGAGAAATGCCTGTCTTCATCTGTGCACTGAGGGCACTGCTGGCCTTTCCACCTCCAAGGATGATGGGAAGGTGTAGAGGGCGGGCCCGCACCCCTAGCCCGGACCGGGGCCAAGATCTCCTATCCTCCCAAGCCCTTAGCAGGTCACTGCACCTCTTCCAGCGGCCCATACCTGCTGGCCCGTGGCACCCAGCTGGTCCTTTTTCTAGCTGAGGAGGGGGGGTGTCTCATCTTGTGACCTCCAGTTCTCCATTGTC